ACGATCATGATAGGTAAAAGAAAATTGGCTACCGAACCAGCGACCAAAGAAATACCGAACATCGAATGAGTGCTGCATAGGGGTTTTCAAGAAGCTCCTGAGACTTTCTCGAGGTATAATTGGTGTAGAAAATAAAACCTCTCGAGTCAACTTCCTTGAGTAGTACCATCCTGGTCGATGGAATGCCCGATGACGCCACTGTGGACAGTGACATGGCTTCTGGCTCTCGTACCTTGGACTGAGGGACAAAGGTTGGATTCGATGCAGATGCTTTCCCTTGTTGTGGATGAAGGGGAGATTGAGCATTGGCGAACCAAAGTTGAAACTGAACCAGAGGGTCCGGATGAACAGATGCAGGACCGAATGGAGGAGAGCGATACTGATCGTGTGTCTCTACTTTGAGAGTAGACGGGATAGGTGTTTCAATATTCGCCATTGATTTCCGGGTGGAATATTGATAGGCAGATATACTCGGTCTTGTGACAGATGACGGTTTATGAGAAAATCGGAATGACCTCTTGCTTGTTATTCGTATCAATAACATTGATTCGACCTGCAGAGACCGGATAACAGAAGCAAAGTGAGACTTGCCTTGGCTGTTGCAAAGTGGCTAGTACTAAGTGCAACAAAGGAATTGTGACTTTGTCATCGAGTGGCTGGTCCTCTCACTTCCGCCTCTAGCCATGTCGCAGCTATCTCGTGGCAGCTCGGCATATTCAGTCTTTCATAATGGGGAAGAAATAATCTATCTTACCTCAGACGATGAGGACGGGATTGATAACCAGGCAGGTTCTGAAACCCCACCATCCTCGTACCCGGTTTCTTCTACACCAGACTACAATGCACCATCTGGATTCACATGTGTCGATTCCAGCGATGAGGAGGACCTATTGGTGAGCTTTCATGTATTCAATTAGGCTTCAGTTGCTCAATTGGAGGCAACACAGGCCAAGATACGACGGAGGCTTTACAGCCATGCAAACTCCAAGGCCCACATTGGCACGACAGAGTCCTCTGAGGTCTGTGGTTGTTCTAAAAAGATGGTTCATTGAACTGAACGGATATTAGCTCGACAATGGAACAGCCTCTCATCCACCGCCTGCTTCATCCTCGTTTCGAGCACTTGGTTCTTTGCCAACTGGCCATGACCTCATAACCGCTAACGTGAATGATCATAAATCACGCTTTCATGTTGCCAGTGATGACAGCGATTCAACGCGAAGCATTGTGCAGGAGTTCAGCCGCCCCAGAAAGAGGAGGAGGACCGGGAAAGAGGTCAAAGCAGAGAAGGTTGGCCCTATTTCCAAACTATCATATCGCATGCTCACCAAAATGTTTCGATAGGAACTGAAGGCACAAGAAAGAGAGCTCAAACGGATTACAAAGCAACAAGAGAAAGAGAGAAAGACCGCTGAAAGAGTCCAAGCAAAAGTTCGTACTGTATCCGGTGTGGCGCTATCTCCTAGCTGAATTAAATGATAGGAGAGAAAAGCACTAGAAAAGCAAGCCAAAGAAGCCGACAAAATCTATAAGAAAAAGTATGCAGAAGCCAACAAGCTCGTCACAGACAAGAAATCTACTCTACCCGAGTTTATGGTCGAAGTTTCAACGGCGTTCCAGCGGCACCCCATACTCGCTCAATGTCTCAACGAGTTCAAGTCAAAGATGCGACAGAGCGGTTGCAGTGTTTTGTATTTCCAGAATCCTTACATGCATCCCCATGTGATGCGATGGAGAAAGAGAGTGGACAAGGAATATGACACAGAGTTAAAAGAGTGGCTCCCGACCGAGAATCCCTATGAGGCTTTGGAACCCCTGTTTTCGGTCTTTTATACTGCGGAGGAACTTCTCCCGAAGATCAATTCGAACGATCACCTCGCTTTCGAAGAGATCAGCAACATCAAGACAGTATTGCAAACGGAGCCGCATACAGGGTCTACGAGCACAGACAGATTAGGACGAAGTGCATCGGGAGAGTACCAGCTCATAGTGGTCGTTTTTGGGATGAAGAGTTACTGTAGAGGAAAGCCTGCCTCCTTCCGACAAGCATTCATCAAATTTGCCTTGCATGTCAATGTCTATCACCGCGTACATGTCATCTATTGCGAAGATGTACGAGACTTTGCTACAAAACTTTTCAATATTTCTGCGGACCAAGGAATCAAAATTCACAAGTATGCACCACATCATTTCTTTGATACCATTCCCGTTTTCTCCATATGCCTCTTAATCTGGACGCAACACACTCATCGTTTCCTCATGATACAGGCTCATCAAGCGTTCCCATCTTCCATATGTATCTGATACCTCAATCAAGACAGGAGATAGTCTTACGGACACGTACAAAAAGATGCTATCCCAAAACTATAAATTCACGCGTCCAGTTGTTGAAGCGGTATGCGGTGCAAAACCAACTCTGAACCAACTCATGTCCTCTTATGCTGCGATTGGGAACCAACAGGAGAGAGAGCTGCTCTTTGCGCCCGTGATGGTCCACAGATACAGGGAAGAAGGGCAGTCGAGCACGACGATGAATGTCAGTCTCTCAAGGAGATTACACAAAACTTCTTTTGGTACAGATCCTTTGGCATTTGTGGGACCTGACACCACCGCGAACAAATATCGTTAAGCAGATGTTTTTGAATTATTCCTACATTTTTATCTGCTATCTTACTTTTC